CTTAGAGTGGTTCAGTGTCTGTTTACAGATCTATACTCCATCAGACCGAGATCTTTCAGAAAGAGCAGATATGTGTGATAATTCAGTATGTCACTGTCGCACAAGATGTTTCCTTGTTTCCTTTGATCCAGGAAACATTCAGAATATATTCGCAATTTTCAGTTCCTCCAAATAACTGTAGCACTAAGCAAGGAACAGTGCATTCAAGTACTTTTACAAAATGATTTCAAGAAGATGAGACCATTGAAAATACATTAGTGATTTGGTGTGGAATACACTAGTCAGCAAAGATGTGGGAAATGCTATTGCAAAGCACTAGAACATATTGAAAGAACAGACAGCATTTTTTTCTAAAGGAATATGAAAAGAGTATCTACACTTTCCAGTATGAGTTGGGCAAAAAATAAGCCATGGACCTTCCAGCTCCATTTTTTTGGCTCCCAAACTCTAACAATAAATGAAACAAAAAACATGTGTTATTTTAAAAAAAACATCATTGTGTTGAGAGGTATTAAATAGATTGATGAGAGAAAGTTAGAGGAAGATGCTCACAAAGTATAGCTGTAATTGGAGGTGGGGATCGGGGTGGGAAATAGAGTATGGGCCCTTTCACACAGCCATACAATCCAGAATACCAAGGCAGAAAATCCCACAATATCTGCTTTGAACTGAGTTATCTGAGTCCACACTGCCATATATTCCAGTTCAAAGCAGATAATGTGGGATTTTAGTCAGCTGTGTGGAAGGGGCCTATATCTCCCAGACCATGGACTAAAAAGTTGGGTGTTGCCAAAATCTAACAATATCACTTTATCCAACATTCAAATCATTGCATTGCACTGGCTCTATTTTCCTGGTTGATTTTCATCATTAGCAAGGACTGCTGGGTCACTTTTTGTGTGTGTATATGTGTGTCAGAAGTGACTTGAGAAACTGCAAGTCGCTTCTGGCATGAGAGAATTGGCTGTCTGCAAGTACATTGCCCAGGGGATGCCAGTATGACTGATGTTTTAGCATCCTATGGGAGGCTTCTCTCATGTCCCTTCATGGGAAGCTAGAGCTCGACAGACGGGAGTTACTCCACTCCCACGATTCGAACCACCAACCTGTTGGTCAACCAGTCCTGCTGGCACAAGGGACCATTGTGCCACTGGGGGCTCCTTGCTGGCTCAATAATATTTATTGATAGATACAATGACATACTGTCTAAATTAATGGCTAAAATGAAAACCATTTGGGAGAATGAGGATTTGGACGTAATGACTATGAATGGGTTGTTGTAGGTTTTTCGGGCTATATGGCCATGTTCTAGAAGCATTCTCTTCTGACGTTTCACCTGCATCTATGGCAGGCATCTTCATCTACTCCAACATGGTGATTTCAGCCATTGAAGCCTATGACTATGAAGTCCATTCAGGTCCAGCACTTAAAATAAAATTGTGATCTCAACATCTTCTGCACCCAATGATTTGGCAGAACTCAGGTACAGGTCCTAGGTTTTTATCTCTGAGAGACCAGGTTTCAAATATCTGCCAAGCCATGGAAACACATTGTGTAATCTTGGGCAAGTAACAATACCTCAACCTAAGAGGAAAGCAATGGTAATACTTTCTCTGAACAAATCCTGCTATGAAGACCCTTTGATAGTATTGACTACCGCAACAAGTGGCAAGTGGTTGAATTGACCCAGAGACTAGATCATACACTTCAAACTGAGAGCATAGTAAATTGTGTGTCTGGATGCTCTTTGCATCAATTTCTGACAAACTCTGCTCTCAACTCTTGGCAGGCAGGCGATGAAGGATGAACATCAGCAGCAGGCTCCTGTGACAGATGCCCTGCCGACTCTCCGTGGGGTGTACCTGGGCAGACACTGTAACCTGGTTGTCTCGTCACATCCACCAAGAGACAAATATTGATTTCCTCAGAGCTCCATGCATGAATTATAAACAAGGTTAATTGCCAAAGTCCTCTGCCTCCCACTTTTGAATTAGCAACGCTTCAGAGGGGAACAAAATGGCAAGAATAATGTGGGTTGTTTTTGTTTTTTGTGGTAATGCTAATGCATTAGTGAAGGCTCCGTGATGACTACCTATTATCTATTTAACTCATTTCAGCACCTGATAGATGGTGAACAATTTTATGGAAACTGATCCCCTTTGAAATAGGGCGGTAGATGTCAAACATTACCTGGTTTAGTTTTTTAGACATTTTTTAAAAAGCCAGTCCAGCATATAATTTTCCCCTTGGCCCTCTTAACATGAAACTTAGTAGTTTCTCTACTGATAAAGAAGCTGCAAACTGAAGCTGACATGCTTCATTCAAGATGGACCTAGTTTTGAGTTTACAGCAGTATTTTTAAAAATGGAGGATGAAAAAAAGGGAGGAATGCAATCTCCTGGCACCACATTGCTTCAGCTCAGAAGCTTGAGCTCTTGGGTTTCAAAAAGCTATGTATGTGTGGCAGTGTGGGAGCACACCTTTCTCATCCATACACAGTACACTAGTACTCCTCATCCTAATCTCCTATTCTCTTGCAATAACTTGTTAAGTTTCAACACAGTTCTCTGCAGTCTTTGCTGGGAAAAAAACAATCAGTTCCAGATCTGTTTTTTAAACAAATAAGCAAAATGAGGCAACATGCCAGAGCGATGATAGGGGGCTGCAAGGGTAAAATGACTCACTCGTCAATAGCATTACATACTGACCAGCCTTCCACTGCAAGCAAGTTAATTCCATTACTTCATCGTCAAAAGACTGCAGAACTAGACATGAAAGCTTACAATGTCATTTCACACTGGAATGAGTGTGAGGCAAAGAACAGGAGTGCCAACATTTACAATGAGCCTTACTGGGATCTCCTTAAATAAACCACAGATGGAATGCTCAGTTGTTGATATTATGTTTCTTCAGGTCATTTACCTTTTTTACTAATTCTAAGGTGGCCCAATAATGGGTTTTTCTTGGCAAGATTTATACAGAGGAGGTTTGCCATTGCTTTCATCTGAAGATGAGAGAATGTGACTTGCCAGACATCACCCAGTGGGTTTCATGGTGAAGTGGAGATTTAATCCCTAGTCTTCTAGAGTTCTAATACAACATGCAAACTACACCATCTTGGCTTTAGAGCAGTGTTTCTCAACCTTCCTAATGTCATGACCCCTTAATACAGTTCGTCATGTTATGGTGATCCCCAACCATAAAAATTGTTTTCGTTACTACTTCATATCTGTAATTTTGCTACTGTTATGAATCATAGTGTAAATATCAGATATGCAGGGTGTATTTTCATTAACTGGACCAAATTTTGCGCAAATACAATACACCCAAATTTCAATACTGCTGGGGTGGGTGGGGGTTTATTGATTTTGTCATTTGGGAGTTGTAGTTGCTGGGATTTATAGTTAACCTACAATCAAAGAGCATTCTGAACTCCACAAACGATGGAATTGAACCAAACTTGGCCCATAGAATTCCCATGACCAAGAGAAAATACTGGAAGGGTTTGGTGGACATTGATCTTGAGTTTTGGAGTTGTAGTTCACTTACATCCAGAGAGCACTGTGGACTCCAACAAGGATGGATCTGGATCTAACTTGGCACAAATACTCAATATGCACAAATGTGAAGTGGAGTTTGGGGAAAATAGACCTTGACATTTGGGAGTTGTAGTTGCTGAGATTTATAGTTAACCTACACTCAAAGAGCACTCTGAACCCAGCTCACAATGGATCTGCACCGAACTTGACACACTAAATACATGGCCAACATTGAAAACTGGTGGGGTTGGGGAGGCTGTTTTTGAATTCTGGGAGTTGTGGTTCACCAACACCAAAAAGGAAGAGAAGGACAGGTGAGAGATCTTCAGCCTTCTCTGCCAAAAGGGTTCCTAAGACCATCAGAAACCTACCTCACGACCACCACTACTCCTCGGAGTCCTGACCCCCAGGTTGATAAACACTGTTTTTGAGTCTCAACATGAAGTACAGAATAAAGCATAGGGGTACATTTGCCACAGACTATCTGGAGATTCTATATACTTAATAGTTGCTTGAAAGGGAAGAGAGATATCAGGTAGAACTCATTGTATTCTAATACTGCAAGAGTTACAAACCTGCAGAGTGAATTCTTCACAAGAAGGCATTGATGCAAATTTAGAGCAAGCACACAGGTTTTGTTGGATTACCTCCATTTTTATATTGCAAGGTAGGATTGGAATGACTTCTCAATGGATCAACACTGTACAGTTTTTGGGAATTATTTATTTATTTATTTATTTACTTCTTTTGTATACCGCAAATATCAGCCTAAAAAGGCGACTCTCTCTTCCTTTTCATAAAGATTACAGTTTTATTCTTCTGAAGAAAGGGTGGTGTACAAACTATGATGATCCCCTATACCAGGCAGTTGTCTCATGCATGTGAGGATTACATCTGTTACACCATGCCTGTGTGGTGTTGATTCCACTCCAGATTTTAGCTTCAGGGCTAACAGATCTATCCAAGGTGCTGAATCCTATTTCCAAATTGTAACTGCTATATATGTGTTGAATTGAATTGTATTTACAAAAGCTCATACTGATATATTTATGCAACATATTCTCTTTTTTGTGTGTGTTTACCTGTTCTCAACACACTAATTTGGTAGATATAGTGAACCTGTGATTCTAGGCACCTTGTGTAAAGGGTTTTAAGGCACACATTGAGTAAGAAAAAATATCTCCTTATATTAACCTAGAGATTTCTAGTTGGTTTTGGTCTACATCTCCCTTCATTCCTGACATTTGAACAAGCTGGGAACTGTGGGTGTAAATTATTACTCAAAACAACTGGAGCAATGCCCCTTGTGTGCAAGAATTTCTGTAAGCTGCAAATGTTACTTCCAGGAGTATAATTTTAAGATATTTCCCAAGGGGCATGGTCATTTGTGAATCCTGTGAGCAATTTTCTCTAGTGTTGCACCTTCCCTCTTACCACACAGGTTAAGGTTGTGGTACCTACCTCTGCCGTGTGATGAGGTTGATGTAATGCCTCAGAGCCGAGTAATATCTGGCCATGTCTTCTGCTGGGGCATCCTCACCTGGACTGTCCGGTTTGGATGGATATGCTTCTGCCAGTGACCCCAGGCAGATCAGCAGGCACAAGGCAAGGGTCATCATTGACAGCCACAACCGCATGGTCCCCTGCATCTGGAAGATACCAGGAAAGGATACAAGAGGGAGGGCAAGAGAGCATGGCGTGAAAAAATTCAAGCAACTCTTTACTTTTTGATGGGTAGAGAGCCAGTGTGATGGAGTGGTTTGCGTGTTCGACTACAACTCTTGAAAATCAGGGCTTCAATCCTCACTTGCCCATTGAACCCCACTGCATAACCATAGGCAAGTCACACTGACTCAGTCCCAAGGAAAGGCAAATGTAAACCCTCTCTGAACAAATTCTGCCAAGAAAACTCTGTGATAGGTTTGCTTTTGGGTCATCCTATGTCAGAAATACAGGGGCTACAGTAGAACAGCAGGTTAAACTGTTAAGCTGCAGAACATGCTGACCGGAAGGTTGGTGGTTTGAATCTGCAGGACAGGGCGAGCTCCCATCATTAGCCTCAGCTTCTGCCAACCTAGCAGTATGAAAACATGCAAATGTGAGTAAATCATTAGGTACCACTTTGGCGGGAAGGTAACAGCACTCCATCCAGTCATGCCGGCCACATGACCTAGGAGGCATCTATGGACAACGCCGGCTCATCAGCTTAAAAATGGAGATGGGCATCACCCCCAAGTCTGACTCGACTAGACTTAATGTCAAGGGGAAACCTTTACCTTTACCTTATGTGAGAAGTGTCTTGAAAGCATAGAGAGGCAGCAAAACCATGACTACCAGTCCTTTGCTTTCAGGAAAGCTCTTTCAAATTAGAAATAATTGTTAGTGGAGTAACTGATTTTCTTGAGGTTTAAATTTGAGCTTTAAATGAACTGTCCAAGTTGTGGAATCCTGTCCCTGAAACTAAATCAGCAAAGAGCAACAAATATTTCAGTGAATCAGAAAAATCCTGCATACAATCTCTCATAAAAATGGATTTAGTTAGCTTTCTCCATTGGAGGGTGGGAAGCACTTCTTAAATATGTTTTGTATGGAAGTTTATTATCATTTCTACTACTAATAATAATATAATAATATAATTTATTTATATTCTGTCCTATTTTCCTGAGGGGACTCAGGATGGATTACAGTACACATATACAGCAAACATCCAGTGCCGTTATACAATGAACAAAGACAGACAGTACATACACAGAGGGAAAGGCTTCACATCTTTTTCCATCTCTGGCATCTGGAGGCTGTACTACCTGGCTTAGACCATAATAACTTACCATAAAGAAATGTAAAACCTTAGTGAACTTGTACATTTCTGCTTTGAAGATGGAAGCATTCTGCTTAAAGTCTTTCATGGCATAAAAGAAGGGGAAGAAATGTGGAAAAGGAGAAAACTGTATCAATTCTGATTTATTTTGACATGGATTTTTAGGATCCTAATTCACTTCCTTGGGTGCACTGATGGTGTACAATTTTCAAGCTCAATGTACATATACACAATATAATAGTTCTGGAAGTGTGGAATTAAGAATAAAATAAGAATACCAAAAATCCACAATATATACATGAAACCAGCTTGGCACAGTGGTTTGAGTGTTGGACTACAACTCTGGAATATGAGGACTCAATACATCATTCAGCCATGGAAATCCACTGGTGAACTTATGCAAGTCACACTGTCTCAGACTAAAAGGAAGGCAATGCCAACCCTTCACTGAACAAATTTTAGCCAAGTAAACCCCATGATAAATTTACGCTATTGTAATTGCTGTAAACCATGAAGCCATTTCCAATCATTGGCAACATTTGTTCAGAAGTGGTTTGCCATTATCTTCCTCTGAGGCTGAGAGAGTGTGACTTGCCCAAAGTCACCCAATGGACTTCATGGCTCAATGGGCATTTGAGCCATAAACCAACACCTAAACTACTACACCACACTGGTCCCAGTTGCCCTAAATTGGACATGTCTTGAACGCACACCACAACAACAAAAAGCTGGAGTTAACACTGACTTAGCAGAAACATTATGGAATCTGTAAACGAATGCACAGACTTGCGAGAATTCTTAGAATTGAAAAGCAACACTTTGCTTTCAGGAAAGTTTTGGTTCTGCAGAAGTCACAATCTTGTGTTGATGATGGCTGTTTCCACAAATGTAATTAAAACCAGTCCATTAATATATGTATGTATTGTGAAAACAAGCCATTGTTTCTGACTCTGATAATAGATTGACATTTGTCCTTATTCCCCCAGTTTGTGTTCCTTTCCAATCTCTCCTTGAAATTCTCCTCTTGATCACTTTGGCTCAGTTAAGGACTGTCAGTTGTTGCTTAGCAAGGTCCTTCTCAAGCAAGTCAGTAACTCAGCCAGGAATCATTTGAAAACGCACACCTATAATCTCATGCTAGAATAAACCACTGTGCTGGATATACTGATTACATGATTGCATCTTCCAAAAAGTTACAAGGTTTGTGAAGCAGGTGGACAATAGCTGTCTCAACAATGGGAAACTTCAGGGGGAAGACGGTGAAGGTGAGAGAGGGAAGTGGTGGCAGTGGCGGGGGGGGGGGGGGGGGGGGGGGGGGGGGGGGGGGAGATTAAGAGTTAATGGGATTCATAGCAACGTTTTGTCACAGAGTGAGCATAATAATAATAATAACAACAATAATAACTTTTTCTGTACCTCGCCTCCATCTCCCTGAAGGGATTCGAGGCAGCTTACATATGACACAAAGTCCCTAAAAACAAGGCATAAAATAAATAAACTGCACAATACAAAAAGTAAAACCAATAGCATATAAAAACAACAAATTTATATCAAGGGCAGGGAAATAAAGGAAGGAAAGAGATGGAGAAGGATGGGAAGAAAGAAGAAGGAGAAAAAAAGGATGGCAAGAAAAAGAAAGAGGAGAAAAGGAAAGTGAGGGCAGGAGAAGAAAAGAGAGGAGAGAAGGAAATGAGAAAGGAGGAAAAGCGAACATAAGGAGAAGAAACAAGGAAAGAAATGAAAGAATGAAAAACAAAGAGAAGAAAAGGAAAGGGGAGGAGATGGAAAAAGGGAGAGAAGAAGAAGAAAAGGAAGGAAGAGAAAAAAGGAGGAAAAGGGAACAGAAGAGAAAAAAGGAAGGAAGAAGAAAGAGAAGAAGAAAATAAGGAGGGACAGGAAGGAGATGAAAAAGGAGGAAAAGAGAACAGAAGTGGAAGGAAACAAGGAAGGAAAAAAGAAAAAGAGAACAGAATAAGAAAGGATAAGAAGGAGATAAAAAGGAAAAAGGAAAAAGAAAGGAAGGAGATGAAAAAGGAGGAAAAGAGAACAGAAGAAGAAGGAAGGAAGGAAGGAAGGAAGGAAGGAAGGAGGAAGGAAGGAAGGGAAGGAAGGAAGGAAGGAAGGAGGAAGGAAGAGGGAGGAAGGAAGAGGAGGAAAGGAAGGAGGAGAGAAGGAAGGAGAAGGAAGGAAGGAGGAAGGAAGGAGGAAGGAGGAAGGAAGGAGGAAAGGAGGAGAAGGAAAAGGGGAGAAAGAAGAAAGGGAAAGGAAGAAGGAGGAAAGAAGAAGAGAGAAGAGAAGAGAAGAGAAGAAGAAAGAAGGAAGAGAAAGAAGAGAAGAGAAAAGAGAGGAAGAGAAGAAAGAGAAAGAAGAGAAGGAAGAGGAGAAGAGAAGAGAAGAGAAGAGAAGAGAAGAGGAAAGCAAGGGGAAAGCCTGGCCAAGCTGGAGGAGGCGCGCTCCGGTGCTGCTCACCTTCTTTCTGTGTGCCTGCGCCTCTGCCTTCTCCCGTGACTCTGGATCCCGACTGGAACTCCTTCCTTGCTCCTTGGCGATCCCGGCTGCGACTCGGCTGGCGCTCTCCAGTGCGGGGCCGGGCGCCTGGGCGAGGTGTTTTATGGCTTTCCCAGGAGGCGGGAGGGGCTCAGGGCGATCACGCTCCGGTCCCACAGCCCCCCTCCCTCCCTCCCTCCCCCCCCCTCCTCACGCGCGCCCCGCCCGCGCCTGGCCCACCATTGGCATCATCACCACCATCACCATCGGCGTGGAAAAGGGAGGGAGAGAGGGTGGGGGCTTGGTGGGACACCTCCGGGCGCCAGACGCCTTAATCCCCTCGCAGACTCGGCGAAGAAGTGCGCTTGAGAACATTCCGGCACTCTTCCCACCCGCAACTACCCAAAGCCTCCAAGATAAACTTTGGTGGCGGGTTGAATCTCTCTGAGAAGTGCTTGAGATTATAGTAGACTCTCCGTTAACTGGCAACTATGGGGTAGATAGATGCCAGACCTATGTTTCTGGTTGCTTAAGAGTTATTATTAAAATAGACCTAATTAATACTATATTCCAGGCAGGGGCAAACTTTGGCCCTCCAGGTATTTTGGACTTCAACTCCCACAATTCCTAACAGCTTCTTCTCATCCTTTCAGTCATGCACCTTCCCTGCTTTTCTTCCTCCCCCCCCCCCCACCACCACACACACTTTAGTTCCTTACTTACTTACTTACTTACTTCCATCCATCCATCCATCCCTTCCCTCCTTCCCTCCCTCTCTCTCTCTCTCTCTCTCTCTCTCTCCTTGTCTCCCTCTCTTTGTTTTCTGTCATTCTTGGCCTCCTCCTAGTCCTTTTCATGGCATGGTCATCGAAATGGCACCAAAACCTGGCCTTTTCAAAGCAAGACACCTACACAAACCCCTTCCAAAATACAAATCTTCATGAAATGGCTTACTTCCTTATAGAGTGGATGTCCTAAGTGTGGCTTTCATGACTGTAACCACCATTGTTTTAATGTATTGCTGAAGGCTTTCATAGCCAGAATCACTGGGGTTGTTGTAGGTTTTTTGGGCTGTATGGCCATGTTCTAGAAACATTCTCCCCTGATGTTTTGCCTGCATCTATGGCAGAGGTTGTGAGAATCTCTCAACCTCTGAGGATGCCTGCCATAGATGCAGGCAAAACATCAGGAGGTAATGCTTCTAGAACATGGCCATACAGCCCGAAAAACCTACAACAACCCATTATTATAATGGTTCTTGTGGGTTTTTTCAGGCTATAGGGCCATGTTCTAGAGGCATTTCTCCTGACGTTTCGCCTGCATCTATGGCAAGCATCCTCAGAGGTATAATGTTTGGGTCCCTTACCCCAAAATGGAGCAGATTCTGTATTTTAAACCCTGCCATGATCTGAAGTTGGGTAATGAAAGGGCCTGTGTGCCAGGTTTGGTCCAGATCCAACAAGCCATGATGGAGCCTTTGTGGTACAAGCAAACCAACTAACAAACATATATACAGTAGAGTCTCACTTATCCAACGTAATAAATGTTGAATAAGGAGGAATTAAGGAAAAGCTTATTAAATGTCACATTTTTGTGCTGTTTATTCATTCAGTCTTCATGACCTCATGGACCAGCCCACACCAGAGCTCCCTGTTGGCCGTGGCCACCCCCAGTTCCTTCAAAGTCGAGCCAGTCACTTCAAGGATACCATCCATCCATCTTGCCCTTGGTCGGCCCTCTTCTTTTTTCCTTCCTTTTTCCCCAGCATCATTGTCTTCTCCAAGCTTTCCTGGCTTCTTCTCATGATGTGGCCAAAGTGCTTCATCTTGTCCTCTAATATCCTTCCCTCCAGCGAGCAGTCAGGCTTTGCTTCCTGGAGTATGGACTAGTTTGATCTTCTTGCGATCCAAGGCACTCTCAGAATTCTCCTCCAACACCGCAGTTCAAAAGCATCTATCTTCCTTCGCTCAGCCTTCCTTATGGTCCAGCTCTCACATCCATAGGTTACTATAGGGAATACCATTGCTTTAACTATGTGGATCTTTGTTGCCAGTGTGATGTCCCTACTCTTCACTATTTTATTGAAATTGGTCATTGCTCTCCTCCCAAAAAGGAAACGTCAAATTACATTATGATTTTACAAATTGTGCACCAAAATATCAAGTTTTAAAACAAAAAGACAGAAAAAAGCAGTTCAATACATGGTAATGTTATGTAGTAATTACTGTATTTATGAATTTAGCACCAAAACAGACAAGGGTTCTTTCTTTCTCCCACTCTGGACATTATTCCACAGGTAAATATATACACTCCACTTGCCTCACCTGTGGATCTGGGCGGGAGGCAGACTGAGTTGGATAATACAGAACATTGGATAAGTGAAGGTTGGATAAGCGAGGCTCTACTGTACTTTAGATAGAGAGATAGATAGATATGTTTAATAATTTTCTGAATGACACAAAGTTTGTGTATCTTGAATCATCAGAAAGCAAAGGTGTCACTGTCTCTGTCATGCATGTGGCCAACTTTGGAGCACTTCAAATTTTAGAATTTGGGTTCAGTGATGCTCAGCCTGTCAACAAAAGCTTTTTCCCCATCTACCTTCTGACTAATAGAGGCACTTTAACTATATCCAAGCCTCCCATGTCCCTAAATAGTCCTTTTGCTGCCGTCCTCAGGGGCTGTGGAAGATCGGAGTCACAAGTCAACACAGATGGATCATTCCAGGATTTTGTCCATTTCAGTTGGTCGATAAAAGTATCACTCTTTTGTGGAGTTTGGATTTTGCTTTGTTCCGATCACTGAATGAAAAGAGAGTAGCAGCCATTGGGTTCCCTGGTCTACCCCCACCCCAAGTCTGAAATAAATTCCATCCCAGATCAAAAATAGCTGGCCGGCAGTATTTAAAAGGCAGAAAGCCAATCACAGACACACACACACATAGAGACACCGGTTGTAGACTTCAAAGGGAGAATAAATTCTGTCTTGACTTGCACCAAAGAGATTCAAATTCTATCTGGGACCTGACAGAAAGTATCTGGAGAGCCCCTCCCTTCGCCCCCCCCTCCTTCGCCTCCAACTTTGATCTTGAAACACAATTATTCCAAAGGAGCTCAGTCCTCATTGTAATCCTACAGAGTGGTGTGACAAATTACAAATCTGGAGATTGAATCCTGCTGAATAGGATCGGGAAAAAAAAGGAAGCGGCAGCCCCATCAGTAAAGGCAGGAAGGCTTTGGCCTTCCATCTGAACCCTGAAACTCCACAAACCACTCTTCTGATGCAGAGATTAACTTCAAGACTGGCAGACAGATTTAATCTCTGCACCAGAAGAGTAGTATGTATGTGCCCCTTTGCTTTAGGTATCAGCAAGTTAATACCACCTATAATAATATAGTATTTGAACCAGACACTCAGGGACTTGTGCCAGAATTCACCCTTAGAAAACTGCAGTGAAGCTCAGATACCAGATGCACTCAAAAACCCCTATATTTTTGAGGTGTGGCAGGTAGACTGAAGAAATATAGCATTATACCAACATTATAAAATTGAATGAAAATTTTAGACTCTGAACTTAATGGTTTTATAAAGTCCATCTAGTGTTTTATAGGGGGCACAGTAGCACAGTTGGTTAAACAGCCAGCTGCAGAAAATCTTTCCAACCAGAAGATTGGTAGTTCAAGCCATGGGTGGGTTGAGCTCCTGCCGTTAGCCCTAGCTCCTGCCTATCTAGCAGTCCAAAAACAATAATGTGAGTAGATCAATAGGTACTGCTTTAACAGGGAGGTAAAAGGTGCCCATGCAGACATGCCAGCAATTCGATAATGAAGATGTCCACAGACAACAGACTCATCAGCATGGAAAATGGAACAAGAGCACCTCCCCATGGCTGGAGTCAAGCACAGCTTGCAGATGCCTGAGATGGAAAGAGAGAAGCCTTTGCCTCTTTTATTTATTTATTTATTTATTTATTTATTTATTTATGTACAGTATTTATCTTCTGCCCTTCTCACCCCACAGGGGACTCAGAGTGGATCACAATGTACATATACATGGGAAACATTCAATGTCATAGACACACAACATATATAGACACACACACAAAGGCTATTTAACTCTTCAGCTTCATGAGGGTATATTCAAATTATGGCCATCGGCGGAGCTGTCGCTTCACCGTCCACTTGTGACACCGATGGAGTTCGTCCTCATCCTTTTGCACGCTGCTGAAGATTTTTAAGGTGTCGTAAATTAGTTAAATTAGCCTCCCCACATAAGCGGTACCTAAATTTCCTACTTGACAGATGCAGCTGTCTTTCGGGCTGCAAAGGTCGACAGCAAACTAGACAGATGATTGGGAGCTTACTCCGACCTGAGCTGGCTTTGAACCCATGATCTTTCCATCAGTAATGATTTTAATGCAGCTGACTCCCAACCAGCTGCACCACAATCCAGTCTATGTACAGTCTGTCTTTGTTGTTAATTGTGTAATGGCATTGAATGATTGCCATATATGTATTCTGTAATCCACTCTAAGTTCCCTCGAGAGATAGAACGGAATATAAATAAAGTATATAAGTAAAGTAAATTATATCTAGAGTAGTGTAACTGTGAATGTTAGTCTGCAATTCTGGGAGACCCACTTGGCCATAGAAAGCCTTGGGTGGCCTTGGGCAACTTACACCTTCTCAGCCTCAGAGGAGGGCAATGGCAAAAAAATATATTGGCAAGGAACCCCCATGATAGGTTTGTTTTAGGGTCACCATACATCCGAATCAGGCTGGGAGTACATACAAAGAGCAAGTGACAAGGGCACAGCTTCTATAGATGGCCATTTATTTCACTGCACTTTAAAACAAGGTCTGCTACATTCGAGACCCTTTTTGCTCATCCTCTGGAATTCTGTCTTCACGAACCACTGGTAATTTGTGAAGCATCCCTATATTTTAGTATTCCCATTAATATTATTAGTCGTAGTAAGTGCAGCAGCTTTATATTTTTTTTATATCCTACCTTTCCTCCCAAACCTGATACTCAAGGTGGCTTATAAACAAAGACATTTTGTAGCTAATACATACAGAAGATTTGATGTAGATTAATTAAACCATCAGTAACTTTAGAA